CAGCAGTGTCCGATTTTCCGCGATCCCTTCCCCCCGCCTCACAGCGCAAGCCGGTTGAGTTCAACCAGGCCATTGCCTACGTCAACAAGATCAAGAATCGCTTCCAGCACCAGCCGGACATCTACAAGCAGTTCCTCGACATCCTGCACACCTATCAGAAGAACAACCGCTCCATCCAGGACGTCCGCAATGAAGTGGCCCACCTGTTCAGCATGCACTTGGATCTGCTGGAGGAGTTTTCGCAATTCCTCCCGGATACCAGTGCCCCGGAGGCGGACGCCGGGTCCGGCGACCTGCCTGGCAGTCTGACCGACTCGGGCCCCGGTGGCGCGGACTTCCCCGGCACCGGCCCCAGCGGGCTGGAGCCCTCGGACGCCGTGAATACCCTCTCCTCCGCCGGTCGGTCGCTCGATGGTGTTGACGATCTTGCCGGGGCCCGTGGCGTGGGGCTCCTGCTCGACCCCGCCGGGGATGGGCATCCCAGCACCGTCGGGCACCCTGGTGCCAAGGCCGGCCCGGGCGCCAAGGGCCCCAAGGCCGACACCAAGGCCACACCGGCGGCGGCGGCGGCGGCTGCCGCGGCGGCGGCGGCTGCGGCGGCGGCCGGGCAGAAGCGCGGCGCCACTGCCGCCGGGGTTGGCGGCCTCCCTTCGGGCGCCAACTCGGCGGCGTCGAAGCGCGCGCGTATGGCGGCGGCGGCGGCGGCTTCGGCGGCCGCTGCTGCGGCGGCCGCTGCCGCCGCCACCGGGGTGCCGGCTGCCGGCGGAAGCCAGCACCACTTGGCTCCGGCCCCTGGGGCGCCCGGTGCTGGGCACCATCTTGCCCCGGCGCCGGGGGCTTTGTTGCCCCCCGGCGGGCAGGCCGGCCCGGCACTTCCCCAAGCGCCGGCGGTGCTGAATGTCAAGCCGCAACTGCCGACCCCGAGCACGGTGGGCCTGTTGCCGCCGAATTCCGTGTCCGGGGCGGTGCTGGCCTCGGCTTCGGCCATGGCGGCCAATGTGTCCAAGGCCATGGGGCCGCTGGTGACGCCGGCCACCACGCCGCTGGCCGCGCCGGCCGGCTCTGCCCTGGGCAGCCTGCCCATGTCGGCGGCCTCGGGGCTGGTGTCCCTGACCGGCGGGTCGACCATCCTGGACATCGACATCCTGGAGCGCACCAAGGCCATCCTCTTCAGCACCGGCAAGGGCCGCCTGGTGTACAATGAGTTCCTCCGGTGCCTGTCGCTCTTCTCGGCCCAGGTGATCTCCGCGCGGGACCTCTACCGGGTCATCCATGTGCTGTTGAATAGCAGCTGCGCCGGGCAAACCGGCTCGGCACACGGCCAGTATGAGGATCTCCTGCGGAGCTTCCGCATTCTCCTGAGCCTGGAGCTGGATGCGCCGGTGTCCGGCGGCACGCATCGCAGCCAGCGCGGCAGCATCGATCCGGACCTGGTGCACGCGCGCAATCTCGATCCCGACGATTATGCCGAGGTGGATGATGACGGTGTGGCCGGGCGGTCGCTGGTGGACAGCCCCCGGCAGCTGGCCACCGAGAGCCTCCCCCGGCATGGGCCCAGCTACCGGCTGCTGCCTCGGCGTTACCAATTCCCCCGGTGCTCCGGCCGGGATGAGCTGTGCGCCGAGGTGCTGAATGATGTGTGGGTGTCGGTCCCCTGCTTCAGCGAGGACAACCGGTCGATCACCATCAAGAAGAACCCCTCGGAGGAGGCCACCTCCCGGTCGGAGGATGAGCGCTATGAGCTGGATCACATCCTGGAGCTCAATGCCCAAACCATCCGGGTCATGGAGGATGTCAAGCGCCAGATGGACCTGATGACCGATGCCGAGCGCCGAGCCTTCCGCCTGGATGAGCGTCTGGGCGGGACCAGCACCCGGCTCTATGCTCGGGCCATTGGCCGGATCTATGGCGACCACTCGCCGATCATCATCCAGGGATTGATGAACTCCCCGGCCCAGGTGGTGCCCATGGTGCTGGACCGCCTGCGGGACAAGGAGTCCGAGTGGCTGCGCGCCCAGCGGGAGTGGAACAAAATTTGGCGCGACTCCTACACCAAGAACCACCTGCGCGCGTTGGATTACCAACACGTGCAGTTCAAGCAGCAGGACAAGCGTTACATCACTTCGCGCTCGCTGCTGCAGGAGATCGACTCGCTGGCCAGTGGCACCCTGGCCGGGGTCGGGGCCGGCAGCGCCATCTTCGGGGCCACCATCGGCCTGGGCACGGCGGCGCTGCATGCCTTCCCGCCGCACTTTGACATCTGCCTCGGCGATGATGATGTCGACATGGCCCGGCCGCAGAATGTCGGCAATGATGCCATCACCTCGCTCTCGGCCTCGGTTCGTTTGGCCCAGGTGGCTGATGGTGTCAGCCGGCCGGTCCACCCGGCGCAGAGCACCGCCCCGGCCGATGCCTTCCGTCTGGTGGTCGGGCTGCTGGAGCGCGAGCGCGAGCGCCTGTCCGGCGCCCAGCAGCATGATCGCGAGCGGGCGCTGCTCTTCATGACGCACTTCGTGGCGGTCTTCCTGCGTTTGCCGGTGTCCACCAATGCCGAGTCGGACGCGACGGCCGATGGCCACTCGGTGGCCGATGGCCACTCGGCCCCGACGCCGCCTCTGGGCTCTCCGTCGACCGGCGGCCCCGGCGCCGGGCCCACCGGTGCCGGGTCCCGCTCGGTGACGGCCTCCTGCTCGGTGGACGGCCTGTCTGCCGGGAGCAATGGGGCTTCGCCGGGGGCCGGGGCCGGCAACACCGGCATTCGGCCTCCGACCGGGGTTTCCTCGCGTCAGTGCCCGGCCTCGCAGGCCGGGCTTCCATGCGCATGCGACTTCGTCAATCAGTCTCTGACGCGCGTGTGTGCCGGGTCCTTCCTGCGGGACTTGAGCGATGTCTTCTTCGCGGATAGCACATTGTACTCCTTCTTCCGGCTGTTCCTCCTGCTGGTGGTGCGCCTGGCCCGCTTGGAAACCGCCGGGGCATTGATCTTCCTGGACGAGTCGCTGGGCTTCTGCCGGGTGAACCGTTCGGCCCGGGACCTTGGCCTCCAGCGGGCTCCCTGCTTCGAGGTGACCGGGGCCGGGAATGCGGCCACCAGCGGCAAGCTGGCCGGCCGGCAGACGGCCGCCGGCCATGGGACCGGTGCCATCTCCAGCGGGGACCCCGGTGCCGACCCGGATGCCGGGCCTGCCCCCCGGCCGGACCCGATCGACCCCTACCCCATCCTGCTGGGGTTGATTGATTCGCTGCTTCAGTCGACCATCGAGACCAGTCGCTTTGAGGAGGCCGCGCGCGATCTCTTCGGCACTCGTGCCTATCCCATCCACACGGTTGACAAGGTCATTCAGCTGATTGCCCGGCTGGCGGTGCAAATTTCCTCCTCGGCCACTTCCAGCCGGCTGGTCGGCCTGTATTTGATCCATTCCGGCAGGCCGCAGATGCCCGAGGCCTTTGAGGCTCACATTTCCGAAGAGGAGCTCGCCCAGCTGGATGCCCAGTTTACCGACCCCGCTGGGGGGGCCGGCAGCGATAGTGATGACGACCGGGCCGCCTCGCCGGCGGCCGGTGGTCGGCCGTCCTCCAGCCGGAGCAGCTCCTCCGGTGGCCGTGCCGGTGCCGGTGGTTCGGGCGCCTCGCGTCGGAGCCGGAACACTCGCAATTCCCGGTCTTCCGCTCTGTCGGAGGACACCCTCATGGCGGACTCGCTCAAGTCTTCTTCCTCCTCCTCCTCCTCCTCGACGTCTTCGCTTTCCTCGATCGACTCGACTGCCGACGATCCGGCCTCGACCGCCGGCTCCATGCTAGATGAGGAGTCCGGCGTGCGGGTCAAGTCCGAGAGCACCACCGGCGAGGGGGAAGATTCCCATGTCAATGGTGGGGCCATCCTGCAGCGCAAGCGGGATGCCCTGCACTCGCTCAAGCGCCTGCCGCGTACATGCTGCCTGTCGGTCGATGGGGATGGCCGGTGCACCCTGCCTCCCGGGGCTTGCCCTTCGGCGACTTTGGCCCGGTTGATTCCCACCTCGTCGGATCTGCAACTGTACCTGGCCCGGGCCGATGCCCTGGTGCGTGGGTCATCCGAGACCGCGCTCTTCCGCATTGACTACCTCTTCCCGCCGGTGACCCCGGCGGCCGGGCCAGGTGGCGAGTCGCCGACCGCGGCCACGGCGGCCGGCCTTGGCGCCGGGCCGGCGGCCAGCCGCCCCATCATCACGACATCCATGCTGGACTCGGTGGCGGCCATGCACCCGGAGGTGGCGGCCGCCGCGGCCGCCGCACCTCCCCGGCGGCATGTCGGCATGGGGGCCATCGTCTCCTCGGACCCGGAGCTCCCGCGCCGGACGCACAACAACCCGCTGGAGTACAAGCCGCGCTTTGCCACCTCCCCGCCGACTCCCTCGCCGGATCTGCCGCGGGTGCTCATTCGCATGCTTCCCCCGCGGGCGGCCACCTTCACGGCGCAGGCCCTGTCCACGGCGGCCAGCCGTACCGGCGCCTCGCCGGACCAGGTGTCCTCACTGACCATTGTTCCGCCAGTCGAGGCGGACAATGCCGTGGGGCCCATCTTCCCGCCCTTCGATCGGGCCTCCTTCGAAAAGGCCCAGCATGCAGCCGATGGTGGCCTGGTCCTGCCGGTGGATCTCTCCCTGGCGGGGCGGCCGGGTCGCACCTGCCCGAGTATCTACTGGCTGCAGCGGTCCTCCGAGCAGCAGCAGCAGCAGCAACAACAATCTGCAAGGTCCTCGGGAGGCGCCAGCAGCTCGGGTAGTCCGCTGAATCGGGGCCCCGACCGGGGCCTGTATGTGGCGGCTTCGCGTGCGGTTGCGACGGCCGATTCGGGGTCCAGTCTGACCGTGCGCTTTGGCAGTGCGGCCACCGACAACTGGGCCGAGTATGTGGATCTGTTTGTCCGTTCGCCGGCGGCGGCGGCTGCCGCCGCGTCGGCCTCCTCGACTCCGAGCAGCCCGACTTCCGGTGATGCCACGCCCGTGGCTCTTCCCTTCCTGCGTCGCTCTTGGACTCGGCGGTCGACGGTCTCCCCGGCGGCCGTCCGCTCGGCCAGCTCGTTGGCCTGCAAGATCAATCTCAACACGTATCGGCTGTTCTTCGTCGGTGGCGGGGAGGATAGCTTCCTGCTGGCCTCGCCGGGCTTGCAGGGGCCCGCCGCGACGCGGGCTCTCGGCACCACCACCGGTCGCGTTGGGCGTTTCCGCCGGAAGATGGCCTCGCTCTTGGCCGCCCTGCCGGCGGCTGCTGAGCCCACGCAAGCCAGCCCGGTTGCCGAGGAGCCGACCCCGATGGTTGTCGAGGAGCCAGCTGTTGCCGCTTCGACGGTCGGGGGTGGCTCCTCCATCACGGCGGAGCCGGCCACCGCCAGCGTGGCCGGGTCCTCCAATCCCGATGTCAAGACACCGGCCTCAACGTCAATCCCACCGGTCCAGGTCAAGAGTGAGAAGCCGGCCTCGTTGGCGACCTCCATGCCGGCGTCCAGCTCGACACCGGCGCCGGTGGAAATGGCCGCCCTCGTTCCGCCAAGTGCCGGCGATGCTCCCCATGCCCCAGGCGCCTCTCCGGCACCTGGTGCTTCGTCGACTGGCGCATCCTCCCCGGCCAAGGCGGATGCCATCATGCAGCCAGCCCCCTCTTCCTCCTCCTCTTCCTCTTCAGAAAGCGCCCCGGCTCCGAGCTCTTCTTCTTCTTCTCCACCGGCTGCGGCGGCAATGCCCGACACCACTGGAGACAATGCTGCCGCCTCCCCGGCGGCAGCCCAGGCGGCAACTCCGCCGGCCGCGGAGCCTTCTTCAGTCGCTGCCCCGGCTACCATTGTCCCGGCCGCCCCCGCCCCCGCCGCTGCCGCTGCCCCTGCCAGCACTCCGGCCGTCGAGCCGGCCTTCCCAGCCGCCAGTGGGGGAGATCTCCAGCCCGGCAAGTCATCTACCGCTCTCCCATCGCCCGCCTCCAAGGCGGTGCCTGCCGATGGCAAGGTGACCTCTCCTCGCCCGGCCGGCAGCCCAGCCAACGAGTGACTTCAGGCGTGTACTGCATTGCGCCCTGCTTTTTCGACCTTGAGTTTTCCTCTGCCAATATATGTCCTTTTCCTCCTTCTCTCTTATTCGACAAGATGGGACTGGGGGGGGGGGGGGGGGGGGGGGAGGGGGGGGGGGGGGGGGGGGGGGGGAGGAGGAAGAGGGGGGGGGGGGCGGGGGGGGGGGGGGGGAGGGGTATCAGACAGCCTGTTGCATGCTATAGCCTCCTGCAGGACGGCGAAATAAAGTGTCTGCACGTACCCAGGCACTGGATGGCATCGAGAGCCACCTCGGTGGCGCGCTCGGCACAGTAGAGGATGACACCGGCACAATCCTTGTGGGAGGGGAAGGAGGGGGGGAGAGAGAGAGAGGGGGGGACGAGTACGCACTGCTTCCTTGGTCGGTCATTCACGGGCATGTGTATATTTTCATGACACCGTCGGAGGAAGACAAAATTGGGGCACGAGTGGGAGAGAGAGAGAGAGAGAACGCACGCACGTGTGCGCGTGTGTGTGTGTGGTGGCGGAAGGGAAATGGAAAAGCGTGCGGGCGGTGCGGGGTGTGCCTTCCTCGGCGGTCTGATCGGGTTTCCCTGTCAGTGGTTTGCCTTCGCCGGTCCCTCACAGGCGGATGGCTCCAGACAGGATGCGGCCGAAGGACTCGACACAGTGGGGATGGTATTCGGCCTTTTCGTGATTCAGGATGTACATGGCCTCGCCGGGGGGGAGAGTCGCCGGATCGGCGCCCTGAGCCCGGAGGTCGGCCTTCCGGTGCTTGAATGTGCCGGTCTGCTCCACCTCCACGGCCACCCGGGCAAATTGTGGCCGGGCAAAGGAGGGAAGGGTCTGGCACACATGCTTGGCCACGTCGCGCAGGACGCGCTGGTGGTCCTCCGGTGTTCCGGGAGGCACGACAATGACCACCGCGCCGCAGCGACCCTCATGTCCAGGGAGAGCCACACCATACACACAGGCGTCCAGGACCCCGGGCACGGCGGCCACAACGGCGGCCACCTCACCGGTGGACACATTCTCGCCCTTCCACCGGAAGGTGTCCCCCAAACGATCAATGAAGTAGATGTACCCATCGGTGTCGCGCTTCATCAGGTCTCCGGTCCGGAACCAGCTGTCCCCGTGCTTCAGCACGTCGCGCAGAATTTTCTGGCTATTGGCCTTCTGGTCTTTGTAGTACCCGCCGAAGCTCTTGAGCGCATCATCGGGGTTGATGCGGCCGACACACTCGCCGATCTCGCCGTTGTCACACTGGAAGGATCCCCGAAGGTCGGTGAACGTGAGTGAGGGAAAGGAAAAAGAAAGTGGGATTGCCGCCGATCGCCGACATATATATCCTGAAGACAGAGGCACAGGCAGAGGCAGAGGCAGAGAGGGAGGGAGGGAGAGAGGGAGCGAGGCAGCGAGGCGAGGGGGAAGCCCACCGCAAAGGGAGGCATACCTCGATGCACAAGCCATCAGGACCACGGAGCGGCACCTCGGTCTCTTGGCAGATGCGAATGAAGCGAATCGGATTGGCGTGGCGCATGAGAACACCGATGTGCCCAACACTGCCAGTGCCCCGGGCAGTGGGACCACCGGTGGTGTGAACGAACATGTTGGCATTGCCCTCGGTCGAGGCATAGAACTCGCCGATCTCCGGGATGCCGAAGCGCGCCTGGAATTGCGGCCACACATCCGGGCGCAAGCCATTGCCGAAGGCCAGGCGCACGCGGTGCTGACGATCCTCCGGTGCCGGGGCCGCGGCCAGCAGGTACCGGCACAGCTCGCCGATGTACTGGACCACGGTGCACTTGTATTGGACCAAGTCCCGAGAGAAGGCGGCCGCGCTGAAGCGGCTACGCTGGACAATGGTCGCCCCATCGCGCAGGACCATTCCCACGCCGATCATGCCGCCGGCACTGTGATACAGCGGCAGGACCATGTAGAGGATATCCGTTTCGCGGAAGCAGAAAGTCCGGCCAAAGGCCGAGGCCGCGGCGAGGAAGCGCGCGTGGCGGATGACCGCTGCCTTTGGCAGGCCGGTGGTCCCGCTAGTTGCAAATGCCGGCAGAAGGACAGAGGTCAGGATGGAGGGGGAGGCAGAGGAGCGGAGAGGGGAAGCCAGTGGCAAACGGCTGGCACGGCTCGAAATGCACCTGGTGTAGACGAGGCCCCAGTTGGAGCTGCCTTCAAGAGAAGCGCGCCGGCTGATGGGAGATGCCTCGTGTGACAGCGGGCCAAAGTGCTTATCCACATGCTTGGTCCCGGGGATGTCGCAATCGATCGAGGCAAACTGCACCCCGCTGTCGGCCAAGCGGGAGCCCTTCAGGATGTCGGCCACGGCGGCACTGGTGTCCGAGCCGAAGATCACCCACTTCGCGGTGGAGATGCGAATGCTATGCTCGAGACCAGGGCCTAGTGCAGGTGTTTCCCAAGCAGCCGGCATCGGGGCAGTCCAATTGAGGGGAGGGATGTCAAGTCAGTGCCGATTGAAGGGGGCAAAGGGAAGGGGGGTGAGAGCTGGGTGGGTAAGGGGGGGAGAGCGAGAGCGAGAGAGGGAGAGGGAGAGCGAGAGCGAGAGCGAGAGCGAGAGCGAGAGCGAGAGCGAGAGGGAGAGCGAGAGCGAGAGCGAGAGCGAGAGAGGGAGAGGGAGAACGAGAGCGATCGCATACCGGTGATGTGGCTATTGAGGAAGGCGATCGTGACACCGGCCTTGGCAAAACCAAGCCACACAGGGATGTACTCAATGCGATTGGTCAAGAAGATGCCGGCCACCTCGCCGACCGGAATGCCTGCGGCAATGACCCAGTGGGCCTTTAATATCGAGCCACCAGTTAGAGCAGACCTCCCTCAGTGGGCCGAAGAGACGGCGGAGAAGCAAAAGCAGACGAGGAGCAGGACAGGTAGCAATATGGACGCGTACAATCTTGTTGGAGTCTGTCCGGCAAGTGGGGATTGGCATCGGGTTAGCGGAGAACTGGAGCATCAGCGGCCGCTGAGAGAAGCAGGAGGACCCTTGCAAGGGCGGCACGCACACTTTTCCACATCAAGGTAGGTCATAGACCGATTGGACCCGGGGGTGGCATCAATGATGCATGTCTTGTTCGGGCACTTGCGCAGGGTCTTGTACCAGATGCCGTCGATGATGTTCCACTTGCCCTTGAAGGCAGCCTGGACCCTGGGGCCGGATGTCAGCATACAAAACCATGCAAGGGAAAAGGCGCGCCCGGTCGGGGGGAGAAGCAGGGCGTACTCGAACTTCATCGGGAAAAGGCGCTTGAACAGGACCAAGTCATTTGAGATTTGGTACTTTTGATCAAACCGGTCGGCTAGCACGAGAGCCGTGGCCGCCGTGGCGATCTTGGCCGTGGTAGAGATGTTCATGGTGACCAAGACCCAGAGTAGCTTCGGGCAGGGGACGGGGGGGGGGGGGAGGGGGAGAAGCGACCGGTCCGAGGGATCTGCCGGCGAGGAGGGGATTGATTGAAGGGAAGATGGAAAGGGGAAGAGGAGGAGGGGGGGGGGCGCGGAGGGAGGGAAGGAGGGACGGGCGAAAGGTGCGCATCTTTCCGAAAGAGGTCCCCGGGCCGCTGGCCCAAAAAAACAAACAAACAGATTGCTCATCCCCGCCGGCGATTTCCTTGCCGCACCCTCGGGAGCCGCTGGTGCCCGAACCCGGGAGCGTGATCGGCCCGATCGATCCCGCTCACGCATCCTGGCCGTCAGGCCAGCGCCCACACACCCCGGCGGTCACTGTCGCTGTGCCCCCCTGGGTGAGATGGCACGGGCCGATGTTCGTTAGCCCGACCGCAACGTGGGCTTAATTTCCCCTCCACTAACCAGCCCAGGCCCAATTTGTTAAAAGCACCAGGCAGAAGCGGCCCCCTTTCTGTGCCCCCGTGTCGGCTCCCTCTTCTTCTCGGTCTCAGGGAGGAACTGGTGTATTGGGCGAATGCGACATCCGCCGGGGCAGGGGGAGGGGGGGGTGGGGGCAGAGCAGAAAAATAGCCCGAAAAGCTGTCAACAGTGACACAGCTGTTCGTTGGCAGGTGCGAGCTGCAACAAGGACAGAGAAATGGGACGGGGAAGAGAACGGCCAGAGGGACACAGAACCATCATCCACGCACAATCACCGGGCATCGAGAGGGGGATGTATGATGTGTGCTCCCCCCGCGCGAGTGGTTTGTTCCCTGGCTTTTCCCCTTGGCTGACCCTAGCCTCCCTCTTTTGACTGGCGTGTGACGCCGAGGGACCGCAGGGCCAGTGGTGGGAATAGCACAGGGAGAGAAGACGGTGAAGTGGGCAGGGGATGGGGGGGGGCAGCAAGACTCGACAAGGGACTAAACTACAGAGAGGACCCCATGTATGATCGGGGAGGAAGGGGGGAGAGAGGAAGGACGAGGAAATGGAGAGGGGGTGTGGTAGGGCCATCGCTTCGCCGAATATGGACCTCCTAGACCGCCGCCAAGGAAAGGAGGAGGAGAAGGAGGAAGAGGGAGAGCAGCACATGTTGTGCGCGACTGACGCCGGCGTCGTCGCACACACACACACACACACACGCGCGCATATTTACATCAATGAATACGCCCGCATACACACACACACACACACACATATCCATGGCCACAACCATAGCCGCATTACTTCGACAGAACCAGAGCCCCAGCGCCGGCGGCAACGTGCAGGCCATACTCGATGGCCGCATGGGTGATAACGCCATGAATGCCGCCGCCGGCGGACTCGGGACCCACACGCAGGTATGTGCGGAGGCGCCGGTGCTCGGCCTCGGCGTTTCGCATGAACGATGACACGGGACAATGGAAGGGTTAAGATACGCGGCGACACGGGGCGGGGGGGGGGGGGGGGAGAAAGATAGGGGACGCGCTGAGCACGCACATCACCGTCAGCCTCATCGGCAGCCAGACCGTCGGCGGTTGACATGCCGGCATCTCCACCGGGAGCCAGGACGGCCGACTCGCTTAGCAGCGATAGGCGGTACGTGACAACCGCCTGAGAATGCGTCGGCGCCAGGGCAATGATTCGACGGAAGATGGCCGAGAGGCGCATCTGAATGGTCGGCGCGGTGGCCAGGTGGCTCTGCAGCAGGACCGAAGACCGTGAGTACCGCTTGACAGAGGCCGCCAGCTTTTGATTCGGCTTCGAGCGGCTGAGACTTCCCATGGACTTCTGTGACAGGTAGCCGGACAGAAGAGCATGCGAGAAGCTGTTCAACAGGAAGGCCGAGGCGCCAGCGCTTGACGGGCACACTGAGGCATAGGTCCCCGTTGAAACATGCCCCAGGAGACAGGCAAGGCTTGTCACATGAAGGGCCACACGGTTCAGTGCACGGACCCTGTGATCGAATCCATCGCCCGAGCCGGAAGAGGGGCCGAGATGGGGGGGGAAGGTCAGAACAGAAGGAAAGAGGGAGGAGGAAGTGGTTTGGCAAGGGGGAGCGGGGGAGCGGGGGAGCGGGGGGGGGGGGGAGGCATGCGCACCAGAGTTGGCAGGCCGCCTCATCACCGACATCCAGCAGGATCTCAACACCACGCGCGGCCCGCAGGCGAACCACATGCGCGCGCTTGGCGTGCGACCGGACCACCGAGGCCTCGGACCCGACCAGACAAATGGCCTCACCCAGGGAGAACGCCTGGATGATGGGCAGCGGGCTGAGGAGCGTGTTGACCGAGCCAGCCGGCATGACCGGCGGCTCCAAGGGCACCCCGGCCTCCAGCAGGATTTGCCCAGTCAGCTGGGGCAGGGCCGACCCGGTCGAAGCCGCACCGTCGGCCTCCGACAGGCTCAGATGAGAGGAGGAGATCGCCTGTGAGGTGAGGAAGGAGGAGCGCTGCTGAACGGTGTTGCCGGCCGGGCCGAGGTTGTTGGCTGATGTGCTGAGCCCGCGCGAAGTAGGGCCGCCCAATCCACCAGTGGCCGGGGGGATGGTGCCCCCAACGGCGGCAGGAGCTCCGCCAGCCGCCGCCCCGGTGGTGGCCGAGTCAGACAGGCGCCGGGCCAAGTTCGGCGATGCCGGCCCCGCAGAGGAAGCCCCAATTGAAGGGGCAGGGCTGCTCTTCCCCTCGCCAGCGGCCGGGGCCGAGCCACTTCCGACGCCGGCACCGGCACCGGCACTGCCGCCAGACAGAAGGGACTCATGGGAACGTGCCCGGTCCGCGGGATGCGGAGGCTTCGACACCGACGGCGCCGGATCCACATACGACGAGGTGATGAGCTGGTGCAAGCTGGTCGCCGACTCGGCCAGGCCGATGGTCATGATGGCCAGCTGCTCGGCCAGCTCGCGCTCACTATCCGGCTCCAGGGCCACAGGGACCGTGTACCGGATGTGATCCGGCCCAGCGGACGCCGGGGCCGGCAATTGGCCCACGCTTGCAGCCACGAACTTCGGGTCGAGCAGGACCAAATACCCATCAACCAGGCGCGGAACCATGCGCGTCCAGGACCGGCCACCGCCAGCACCGCGCCGGCGCTTCTGGCCATCCTCATCCAGCTCATGCTTCACGTGTACCGGCTGGCTGAGGATGGGGTCATCGAAGTTCTGGTAGACACTGCTCGGGGCGGGGACATTTTTGAGATAGGCGTCGGTGCTCGGTGGCAGGGCTGTCACGGCTGGGCAATTGCCGGGCTCGCTGAGCAGGACATGCGGCGAGGGGGGAATCGACATGGAAAGGGGCCGAGGCCGAACCGGCCGAGAGGACATGACAAGGGACTAAGTGGGGAGGGGAGAAAAGCGAGTCAGACATGAGGGCAAACGGCGAGGACCATCAGGCGCGAAAGGGGGTGGGGTAAGGGGGGGGGGGGAAAGCAAGAGAGAGAGAGAGAGAGAGAAAGAGAAAGAGAGAAAGCCAGAAAGGCAAACAAGGTGGAAGGGCCGAGTAACAGGGGGGGGGGCATGTACGGTTGGCTCCTCGTCGGTGGTCGGGCTGACCACCGGCGAGGGGGTCGAGTCGCATGTGGCGGTCAGATCTACCGAGGTGGTCAGCACATCGGCCGGATCGGTGGCCGAGGAAGATGCCACCGAGGAGGAGGACGACGAGGAGGAGGTCAAATCCCGGATGGTTCGAACAAGAGACCGGCGACGCCGGATGGTCCCACCCGAGGCGGTGGCCGCGGCCAGGGCAGCCGGGGTATCGGCGGATTGCAAATCCGCCAAGGCAGCCGGCAGATCCGAGACAGGGGCATCCAAGGGAGATGGCGGCTCCCCGGCCGACGGAGTGGCCGGAGTGGTGACCGCGGTGGCGATGGTGGCATCCGAGCTGAAGGTTTGTGACCGGGTGCGCTGCCCACCGCCAAACAGCCTCCCGGTGAAGGAGCTGGGCCGGCTTTTGGTCAGTGCCGCCATCGACGGGGGCACCGTGCTCGGGCCGCCCGACTGGACCGGCGTGCCGGCGGTGGGAATGGCCGGATCCGCGGCCAGAGTGCCAACCGGCGGCGCCATGCCGGCCGTCAGGGGAAGTGTGCAGGAGGACGACCCGGACAGAGGCGGCGAGGAGGAGGGCGAGGAGTTGGCCATGGTGGAGATGGACACCATGGACGAGCTGCTGGAGGTGGGCATCGAGGGGGCCGCCGACGAGGCCGACGAGTGCCGAAGCACCGAAGGGTCATGCTGGGAGTGAGGCTGCTGAGCAGGCGCGTGCGCCGGGGGCGGGGGCTGGCTGCTGCCGGGGCCCGGAGTGGTGGCGGCGGCGGCGGCGGCGGCGGCGGTGGCAGTAGCAGCAGCAGCAGGAGCAGCGGCGGCGGCCCCAGGCGCGGTGGCCGATCCCGGGAAGCGTAGGGGCGTCAGGCGGATGTTCTCGTAGATTTCGTTGAGGACACGACGACCGACACCGCCGCGAGCGCCGCCGCCCACATCGCGGCAATTCCGCCGGAATTCGGACCGGCGCATGCGCGGCATCGGGGGGCCCGAGCTGCCAGATGACTGCCCGCCAGAGCCAGCCCCCCCGGACCCGGCCGCCTGACTGCTGGCCTTGTGCAGGTCCGTGTGCAGGAGGACAATGGCGAAGGCCAGGATGTGTGCGGCGTCCGGATCGGCGAAGCACAGGGGCGACGTTTGCCAGTGGCGGTAGGCGAAAGCGGCCACCACACGATCGATTTGCTGCGACTCCGATGGCAGGACAAAGCTCGCCAAGAAGTGCCTGTAGATTAAGCAGGACGGAGG